CAGAATGTACTCCATACATCTCTATAAGCCGTCATCTGAATTCACTTTTAGCATCCTCTTACCCAAACCATACTTCAGTCTTCCTCTACCTTTGTAGCCAATCAATCTTAATACTTTCTTGTTTCTGTGAATATCTTCTCTTCGCGTAATATGTTCATACCATGCTAACCTTTTGCTTGTCAATGCCTCTACCAATGGAGTTACTTTCATACTATATGCGTAATAGCATCGATTCTTTGCTGGTGGCATAAGAATTTTTGTCCTAATTTCGCAAAGCAATTATTTTTAACCGAGCTGTTGTCCGCGACTTCGTCCGCGTGGTATTAGAAAGCATACAAACTACATAAATTACAAAAAGCTACGTATCCCTCGGGAACCGGACATTTCTCGGAGAGGAAGCTTATCCCATGTGTACTCCAGACTTTGTTTTATATCTGTGCCAAATTTCAATAAGATATGTTGAACCGTTGCAGAATGATCGAGTAAACATTAAAAAACTAAATCAATAATCCTCACGGGAACCGTAATTATTCTCGGGATAAAAAGTAACCTATGTGTTCTTCCAGACTATGCTCTTAACCTGTGCCAAATTTCATAGTGATCCGTTCAGCCGTTTAGGCTACAAACACTAACAAACATCCATCCATCTATCCATCCAACTTTCGCATTTATAATATTAGTAAGAAGTAAGATAAGATTAGTAAGATTACTCTCGTTGGCAGTATAATAAGATTATTAGGAGAACTTTATGAGTATAGAAATAAAACGGGAAGTAAACTTAGAAAAGGACGGATAGATTGTATAAAGGCGACTTAATCAAGATGGGAGTGACTGAGATGACGAAAGCTAACCTTGCAGTAGTAGAAAAAGGACAGGAATAATGCTTTCTTACCATCTTCTGGTTATTACTGAATCCAATCCCGGTCCAGAGTTTGCTGTATTTCGTAGTGATAGTGAATTTGATAGAATCCTTCCCCCGCTTCTGTCCGAGGTACTCCCAGCTGGCGTGGTACTCGCAGGTGCCGTTCTTGGGGTCGCAGTCAGCCGGCAGCTTCCATTGACCACCACATTTATCTTCTAATGGGAGAAGACCACCCATAGATGATGATTTTGTCTCCTCTGAAATGTAGGAATGAATGTTTCAATCTAAAAATATAGTCTAAGTTTTTTACTAATAACTTAACTTTTTAATGGTGAAAGAATTTTTGCCATTGGCCCAATAGTTTTTGAGTTATTTCAATATGTATACAAAAAATACAAATCTTTCCTCTTTATGATATTAGTATGGACGAGCGTCGTTTTCGAAATAGTGTATCTATCTTATTAATATTGTAAATCCGAAAGTTTAGATGAATAGAGTTTAGAGAATAGATGAACAGAGAGTTTGTAGCTTAAACGGCTAGATGTGGAGCATAGTCTGGAAGAGCACATAGTCTACTTGCTTTAGTTTTTTTTAATTCCGGGACAGAGTCAGGGCTTGTCTAGATAGTCGAAACAGGCAGTTTTACATGTTTCGACTATCTAGACAAGTTTCATCCAAATCACCTATATATATACAATAATAGTAGTAAATCCTAGAAAAGCATGATCTCCAGGTTAATACCAAGTCTTCTTAATAGACTGTCAAGAAAGTGATGCCGCGTTATATTTCAAGGGAAGGGAAAATGTATTTCGCGACGATGAACATGTACATATATTTTAGAAAGGTGCATGTAAGCATAACAGATAACTGACCAAAGAAGTTAATGTTGGTGACCCCGCGCTGTCCGTGTCCGTGGTACTTGAGTTCGTCTGCGCGGTAGAACTCCCCCAGCGAAGAGTTCTCCTGGCCGAGCGCCCAGATCACATGCATCTCGTCGTCTACCAGAGAATGGTCTGTTGGCTCCTTCGCCTGGAACAAAGGTATTCATTAAAACATCGTAAATATGACGTATTTGCATATATAATGGAAAATAGGTTTTTATTTTCTTTTCTGTCTGTTTATTTAGTGTAATTACCGAAACCGCTTTATTTCGTCTAGACTTGTGTGTGGGAATTACATGTGTTTTTTTTAATCCCAAGCTAATATCACCAGCAACTAGTAAGTGAATATAAAGAAATTATAATGAGCTAAGTAAAATTTCAGTATAATAGGGTGTCCATTATTTTGTAGACAAAAATAGGGATAGGGAAAACTGACCCCAAAATGCTCATAAATAAAAATACACTTTTAATAATAATCTGATAAGAAGGAGAGGATATTGTGAATCATTTCGTGCCTTGATTTTCCTCCTAAACATGATAGTGGTGACGCCATTCTCCTCGAAGCCGGATGCTGCCGTGATGTCATCATGTCCGCCCCAGAACGTATCTACTCGTGGAGTCGATCTAAATCAATCATAATTAATTTAGTTAACTATAACTCAAAACCCTATTTGCTCAGATGATACTTCGACATTATTCAGCCCATCAAAATTTACTCGACACTGGTCCAATCATTGTCATCAGTGCCATTGACCAAAAACTGAACTGACCTGTCAAAAGTTTATCATAATTTTTCGCTAGATGGCGCTATCCTTAATCTATTTTACAGAATTATTGATGATTCTGCTTAGAAATGTTTTTTTTAATACATTCGTAAATACGTGATAAATAAAGTTTTTGTGCTAAGTGTTTATTTTTTAAATAAATAGATTTGAGCATAAGAATGTGTTGGAACTCACCTATCCCTTGTATAGTAATCTAGTACTCTATGATAGTTCCCCCGAGCTGTGCCAATGACCAGATCTGTGCAGTCCATTCCGTTGAAATCGAATTTGGGAGCGTATTCGTGATCTGGGAAATATCCTGCAAATATCGCTGTTATGGTTACACTACGTACTAAAGTAACACAACATTTGAGTTAAAAGTTACTGAACAGTTTAGTATGTTATGTACATGAAAAGAATAGATATTAATTATTATATTTTTTGATAACAAAATGATAAATGATTTTCAAGATTTTTCCTAATAGCTAGAAGAATAAAAAATCGAGAGAAACGTTAAACATACATAGGTCTAAATTATTAATAAAAAACTGTTTTTAGATACGCTCGGAAGCCACAAATAATTTTTATCATTCCATAATAAAACTATTTACATATTATACAGCTTATTTTTTATCTGTGGATAAAATAGCTTTTTACATTCGAATTGCATTTTTATTCTATTTCGCGCGCATTTCTTTTGAGATAATTTTGGTAATTTTTTCTTCTTATGGATGCGATATTCTTAGTGGCCAGTAAGATTTGATAGCAACATCAATTTTACCAAAAAAAGTTATCATTAAATTGTATATTTATTTCCTATACATAATTATACAACTTATTTGTTTTGAATGAAATATTTACAAACAAAAACATCAAAATTATACTGTACACTTATAAAGGTTATTAGTTAAAACGATAAGAAAATTACGAAAGATGATGAGATAGAAATATCAAGAAGTATTAAGAAGGATAGAGATGGAGTAGAGGAAAGAAGGAAACAGAAGACAGCCGGTACCTGAAAGTGCGTAAACAAGCACAATAAAAGCAATAGCTGATAGGAATACCAGTCACCTATTTATTTTTAAATAATACGCTTTTGTGAATAAGAAAACACTAAGAAAGCATTAAGATGTTTAAAAAAGAAGCATAAAAAGCGTTTTTTTTTTGGCATTATTGTACATACTGTAAATAATTACATAGGTATACATATTATTTGTAAATAATACAAACTGTTGTTGTAACTTGTTATTGTAAACTTAAAACAAGTAAAATATAGTTTAGCAATCTAATTAATATTATAAATGCGAAAGTCACGATGGATGAATGGATGTTTGTTAGAGTTTGTAGCCTAAACGGCTGAACGGATCTCAATGAAATTTGGCATAGACGTAGAGCATAGTCTGGAAGAACACATAGGCTACTCACTTTTGTTTTTTTTAATTCCACGCAGATGAAATCGCGGGCGAAAGCTAGTTTTACATATTTCTAAGTACTCTGATGTGTTAAATATATACTTAAATTAGCACTAATTTGTTTTTAAATTTCAAAAATTATATGGTTAAAAACAAGTTGTACTTTTAAATTTCAAAGTTTAAAATTCAAAGCTATTTAACTTCTATAAATATATTAAATTAATATTTACGAATACACAGTGACAAAAGCATAAAATATACATATATGAATAAATATATTATACGTACAGAAAATATAACGCAAAGCGGTTACGATACCTGATTCATCCGAGAGTCCTTTAACTAGCAAGCTCTCCAAGTCCTCCTCCGAATCCGGTTCCGGGTTTGGTTCCGGTTCCAAACTCGGTTCCGGGGTGGGTTCCGGTTCAGAACTCGGTTCCGGGGTTGGTTCGGGTTCGGAGGTAGGTTCAGGAGAGGAATTTGGCTCAGGTTTAGGTTCTGAGGATGGCTCTGGTTCGGACTTGGGTTCCGATGAGGGCTCCGGTTCCGATTTTGGTTCGGACGTGGGCACAGGCTCTGAATGAGGTTTTGGTTCTGAGGAAGGTTCTGGCTCGGATTTGGGTTCGGGCGTAGGTTCTGGTTCTGATTTTGGTTCAGGTGTAGGTTCGGGTTCGGATTTGGGTTCAGGCACAGGTTCAGGGATTGATTTAGAACTTTCTTTGGGTTCGCGATTATTTTTTGTTTGATTATGCGTCGTGAAACCCGGTAACGGTTGTGGTTCTGATTTAGGCTCGGGAGAAGGTTCCGGTTTGGATTTAGGTTCGGGTGTCGGTTCCGGTTCCGATTTAGGTTCGGATGTCGATTCCCGTTCCGATTTAGGTTCGGATGTCGGTTCCGGTTCCGATTTCGGTTCGGGAGTCGGTTCCGACTTTGGTTCGGGTGTCGGTTCCGGTTCCGATTTAGGTTCGGGTGTCGGTTCCGGTTCCGATTTAGGTTCAGGCGTAGGTTCTGGTTCTGAATTAGGTTCAGGTGTAATCTGGGGTTCTGATTTAGATTTTGCAGACGATTGCGGTTTCAACTTAGGTTGGAGTTCAAGTTGCAATTGAGGTTTTGCCGATTCGGTTTTAACATTTATCTGCGCTAGTTGTTTAGATTTCGGTACGAATTTAGACTTGGGCTTGGGTTTAGGAGTAGATTTCGGTTCTAACTTGGGCTCTACTGTTGGTTCCGGTACGGAATCCGGCTCAGGGGCTGGTTCCGGTACCGGAGTCGAAATGGGTACGGGATTGGAATCGTTTTGTCTTTTTGTCGGTTCGGTATCTGTAAAAGTAATGCAACCATGCGGAATTATATTTACAAATAGTAAAGTCGAGCGACGTTAGAGTATTTGTGAGTGTTTGTATGCATCTCTGCGTGTTTGTGTTGCGGATGTGTTAGCACGTGTGTTCGTATTATTTTGTGCTTTTAGTGCATTTGCTAATATTATTACTCACTGGTCAGTTCTTGAGCAGCTCTTGGTTTTCTTCCTGCGAATAAAAAACACGTATTAACTAATTGATAGTAATAACTTTGTCTGTTTTTCAAATCTCTAAATTTCGATATAATCTCACCCTTTGAGCTGGAGACTTGGTAAGACACGCTGGTCGTGACTGTGACGTTTTCACCCAAGTTTTTGATATCCATTCCATCTAAGAAAAGCATAGCGACCCGCTTATTTCTATTATCATTCTCTACAGTCGGTTCTGGTTCAGGTTTGCTAGTCGGTTCTGGTTCCGCCTTAGGCACCGATGTCGGTTCTGCTTTAGGTTCGTCAGTCGGCTCGAGTAGAGACTTTGGCTCCGGACTGGGTTCCGGTTCAGATTTAGGTTCCGGACTGGGTTCCGGTTCGGATTTAGGTTCCGGACTGGGTTCTGGTTCGGACTTAGGTTCGGCGCTCGATCCCGGTTCGGACTTCGGTTCGGGTTCAGGCAGCGGTTCCGGTTTCTGTGTGCTTGCTGAAATTAATGAAATGGAAATATTTAATTTTGCATGATGGTTCCTACAACTGTGCACAAACACAAAATATGTATTAACATTTAATGGTACTCACTAGTTTGGTCCGGAGGTGGTCCTAAAACTGGGAAATTCTTGCATTGTTTAGTCAAACCTCGAGGTCTCCAACCAATGCCTGGAAGCAATAGATATTGCCTTTTACCTTAATCATGTTCTTTACTCACTTTATGAGCAGGCTAGGATTGTTTAATATACCTGCATACGAGGTGCCGTTAACCATCATTACAAACTCAATCTCTTTTGTCTCCTTGAGTACGCGCCAGTAGAGAGCAAACTGCTTCGATAGTTCCTTCTTAGTGTACAGTGACAAGTCGATAGACCTATCTTTCCATGGCGACTCTGAAAACAAAATGTTATTGGTGGGTAAACACGTCCAGAAAATAAAAGAAAATCCATTACAAAAGGTAAACTACTAAAATGATAGTTCGACTAATTTCAAACACTTAAATTTCCTAGTAGCGGTTTTAGGGTTTTAGCGTCCAATTTTTTTTAGTTTTATTAATAGCTTAATTAGCGTAGAGAGACATGTGACACCCCCTTCTGGACAACGCCGGAGGCTGGCGTCCAACCGCATCCTCCCTAATGCCAGCATTGTCTTACATTTCAAATTCTCTTGCTGAAGAAATTCAAGTCACACTGTATCAAGGATCCATGCAACCATTTACGCTGATATTCTTCCAGCATATTCTATAAACCTTAGATATCTATCGACAGCGAGACATAATCCTCAAAGTTAGTATTACTTACTCTTGTTACATCCCTTGCCGTAGAAGCCGTGTGGGCAGTAGCACTGTTTGCTGGGCGACTCCACTGAGGCGAGGTCTAGGCACTTCCCGCGCAGCCCGCACTCGCCGTCCTCCGCGCATTCATCTGCGAACTGGCATCGCGAGCCGTAGTGCGCCTTGTGACACTTGCAGCGTCCGAGGATGTGAAAACCATGCCCTGAACATGTCTCGTGGAACTTCTTACCTGGAACATGCAAAAGAAGGTAATGAGGTATCAGATTGCCTCGTTGTCCTACGACGAACTCGAGGATAGTCTGGATGCTTTAATTCAAATACTCTATTACTACTGATTTCAACCAGTTCAACTTGTTTATAGGTTGCTTACGTTCAACTATATCGATGTCCGCACACGACCAGAAGCGGTAGGTAGGGCCCCACTCGCCTGCCTCTCTCTGTAGTTGCAATGTGCAGTTCTCACACGTGAAGTCACTTGGTAAACGCACCTCGTACTTCTGGGCACTAATACAGAAAATTTTGACAATAGACGATTTCACAATTTATCGGTGGCATTTTTATTGAACATGTATGAAAAAGAGTTGTAAAATATTGAAATGAAATTAATGTTAGAGATCAGATCTCGCTCAGAAAAGTGAAAAACTTTATTATGTTGATCAAAAAGTTGAAAACTCACGTGACGTCATCTCTAACAAACTCCGTCCCTCCGGCCCTTGGTGTTAGATCTAAGACGGGTCTTTCCAAGTCATCCAATATTCTCAAACTGAATCCTCCCTTAAAAACAAAAAA